TCATTTGACCAGTATGAGCCCTGGTGTACCACAACATATGGTTCAGCACCTCTTCATCATTTGACCAGTATGAGCCCTGGTGTACCACATTTGGTTCAGCACCTCTTCATCCCTTGACCAGTATGAGCCCTGGTGTACCACAACATATGGTTCAGCACCTCTTCATCATTTGACCAGTATGAGCCCTGGTGTACCACAACATATGGTTCAGCACCTCTTCATCATTTGACCAGTATGAGCCCTGGTGTACCACAACATATGGTTCAGCACCTCTTCATCCCTTGACCAGTATGAGCCCTGGTGTACCACATATGGTTCAGCACCTCTTCATCCCTTGACCAGTATGAGCCCTGGTGTACCACATATGGTTCAGCACCTCTTCATCCCTTGACCAGTATGAGCCCTGGTGTACCACAACATATGGTTCAGCACCTCTTCATCCCTTGACCAGTATGAGCCCTGGTGTACCACATTTGGTTCAGCACCTCTTCATCCCTTAACCAGTATGAGCCCTGGTGTACCACAACATATGGTTCAGCACCTCTTCATCCCTTGACCAGTATGAGCCCTGGTGTACCACATATGGTTCAGCACCTCTTCATCATTTGACCAGTATGAGCCCTGGTGTACCACAACATATGGTTCAGCACCTCTTCATCCCTTGACCAGTATGAGCCCTGGTGTACCACAACATATGGTTCAGCACCTCTTCATCCCTTGACCAGCATGAGCCCTGGTGTACCACATATGGTTCAGCACCTCTTCATCCCTTGACCAGTATGAGCCCTGGTGTACCACATATGGTTCAGCACCTCTTCATCCCTTGACCAGTATGAGCCCTGGTCTACCACATATGGTTCAGCACCTCTTCATCCCTTGATCAGTATGAGCCCTGGTGTACCACATATGGTTCAGCACCTCTTCATCCCTTGACCAGTATGAGCCCTGGTGTACCACATATGGTTCAGCACCTCTTCATTCCTTGACCAGTATGAGCCCTGGTGTACCACATATGGTTCAGCACCTCTTCATCCCTTGACCAGTATGAGGGATGCATGAATTGTGCAATGAAAACTCAAGTTCTGGAACAAGACCAAAGTCTAGATGTGGACAAACAACCAGGGCTTTCAATTGGAGTTTACAGCCCATAAATGCCAAGAAAGCATGAAGAAGACAAGGCAGTTATATGTTCAATAATTTGCCACTGTAAATAATCTGTAAACCACATAAGCAATGCCCAAACCACAGACACCTCCTTGCATCACTCAAGACCTAAGATATTGACTGGCAAGAATTAAGTCATGCCGCAAGGTAATCAACAGTAACAACTTCTTCTTCATGTTCACTGGCTGTAAACACCAGAGGAAAGTTCTGGTTGTTCATTTACTTCTAGACTTTAATCTTGCTCCACATCTTGAGTAGTGCTTACACATCCATTGTACAGATCTGGCCTGTTTGTGTGCAGAATGCTGGTTCCTTGCCTCTTAGGCTAATGCATTCTGACTTCGAAGGAAAACCCTTGACTCTTATAATATGCTTGTTTGGGAAGGCAGTGGATCTATTCTTGTCCCCCCCCCCCCCCCCCCCCCCCACACACACAGAGTGGGATTCAATAACACTAACAACAAAATTAATATCAGCACAAAATCAATTCAGAATACTCATACTATTAACAAATTGCAGAATTCAACAAATTAATATGCATCAAACATGAATAAATGATTAAACTTGAAAGATTAATTTTTCACTAAATATAAAAATATAAACCTCTAATGCAAATCTGAGTTAAACATTAACAATTAATTGCATTCAAAATGTTAATGCAATTAATATTAACACATCATTATATTTAAAATATTATGTGAGGAACATGAATAATTATTTACATTTTATATGTTAATCCAAATAACATTCACAAATTATTCCATTCAAAATGTTAATGACAAATTAACCAGTGTATGGTTAAAATTGGAATGTAAACATATTCAAGAAAGGTGAAGAAAAAACAGAAATGTCTGAACAACAGCTGATATCAACAATTATAAGACAAAGAAGTTGGCAATATAGTGGGCACATCCTTGGGGGGGGGGGGGGGGGGGGGGGGGGGGGGGGTGGGGGGGGGGGGGGGGGAGGGGGAGGAGATGGTAAAGAAAATACAGAATCATCAAACAGGCACTTAGATGGGAATGACTGATGAGGTCAGGATGCCAAAACAAACTCGAAGACAAACGTTGATGAGGGAGGCCTAAGCACTGGATTCCATTCACGATATTGCATAGGATGAAATAGAATCGATGAATCGATTGTGTCTGCTATGTAATGCATAAGGGAATGAAAGAATGTCGATAGTGTTGAACAATATTTCAACAAATGATTACAATTTGCTATTAGGTTCTTGTTTAACACTGGCATATGACTGGAGCTTGCACGCTAGCAATGGTATAACAATGGTATAACAATGCAAATGACACTAAAATCTACAACAAGCATAATTTTAAAAAAAAAAAATATATATATATATATATATATATATATATATATATATATATATATATATATATAGATATATATATATATATATATATATATATATATATATTATATATATATATATATATATATATTATCATATATTATCATTAGTAATATTTTGTGCTGTATGCATAAAGGGCTTGAAGTATTTTATTCCACTGGGTTCTATCCTGCGCACAGACAGCATTGGCTGGCAGAAAACATGCATCCATCCATCCGTTGTTTTATCTGTACTCCTCCATCATATAAGCATCTCAAAATCTCCAAACCATCTATCAATCCGTCATTCCATCCATCCATCACATGGAAGTGAAATCTGTCGAAGCACATATAACCCGTCTTTCAGTTTAGGAGGCGGACATTTTAACCAAATTCTCAAGGGTCATGGGAGCAATCATTAGCGCTACCTTAAGACAGCTGCTTTTTCATAAGACTGAGCACTAACAGGAATGTCTAATGTGCAGTGACGCTGATAGTAATTACATAAAAAATACTTATAACATTTGATCTTCTATTTCTCCTCTTGCTCCAGTTAATTCATCAAATTTGTGGTGGATATTAACGATCTTCAGTGTGCTCTTTCTAATGCAATGTATAAGCTGATGTTAATTTGTTTAAGGTTGTTCTTGATGTCGTCATTCCATTTTTTGCATGGTCTTCCCCTTTGTTTTTTCAGTAAGGTTCTCCGTGGCAGTTGGTACCTGGGCATTCTCATCAGAGGCCAAACAAACTTAATTGTTGCTCTTCTTCCTAGCATTCAGTGGCTGTAAACTGAGGTGGAAAGTTCTGGTTTTCCATCCACTTCTGGACTTCTTTGCATGCACATCATTTGACATATCTGGTTTATTTGCATGCAGACTGTTGGTTCCCTATCTTTTAGGCTGATGGACTTCGACTTTGAAGGAACCCCTAATCAGTTGACTCTTACAACATGAAAGCAGTGGGTCGACACGTTTCCCCCTTCAATGGAGCCCTCCGGAACCCATACCAGTAACGGCCCATGTTTGGAACTGCTAGCACAGAGTTGGCCATGATTAGATCTTATTCCATCTACCCCAGTAACACCCAACACAGGGAAATAAACTAGTGTCCTTGTCTGTTTGGGGTATCTGGGATTTTAACTGTGAATTCAGCAACCCGAATCAAGTTCTTCGGGTCACTGGGATGCCAAACCTTCAGGTAGCAGTCAGGGAGAGAAAAAAAAGTCAGTCTGTCAGTGACATCTATGAATATACAGCACCATCAGCGAATGACAGCTCTTAACAGTAAACATCTAAAAAGTGAGTTGTGTATCCTTTACAGAATGTCACCGAACCAACCCTAGCATTTATTGGCTGTTGTGGGTCTTCCAAGTGAATTATAGGTTCAGTAGTTTGCCACTGCTTTCTAAATGGTCAGCTCTCAGTTCCACTGTTGAAACCACCTAAGGCACAGATGCCGAACATGAACATACATCAACAAATAATTATATTCCTCATATTATAACATAACCCTTGACCCGTTAGGGTCATGGAGGTGATTCAATGGAAGAACAGCACATAAAACCTGCCATCTTTCTCTGTCTTCCGCTTAACGAATAAGTGTATGATAACTTAGTCCTGTCCATTTCTTGATGTTGTAATTCCAGGTTCTTCTTTGACTTCCACTTCTTCGTCCCCCCCCCCATGTTCCAGTACGGTCTTTGCAATCAAATCATGTCTCATATTCCCCATATGAAGACAGCAGCCTTGGGTTTAAATCTGAATCAAGTCATATTATTTTCAAAACTGACCTTGGCTCCCAGGCTGATTGCACCTAAACTGGATACGAGGTAATGTAGAAGTAAAAGTGGCTAGTGTATATTGACCATATCACCCAAAGTGGGCCGACTTGTTTACAAAAATATTAATCTGAACGAAGCCTTTTTTTTTTTTTAAATGACCTTGGCTTCTAGGTTGACCCATTCTTAAATGGGTAACAGGTAAATTTCAGGGAAGTAAGGCGGAAGTAAGTGCAGACTGTTAGTCTTTTTTTTTTGTTTTTGTTTACAAAAATATTAATCTACCATCATGTGCCTGTTAGACCACTGGAGTTTAAAAAAAAAAGTTCTTTACTTACTTAAGGAAAAGTCTGGACAATATTTAGTTTCAACAGTCATAGGACATGTAAGATGGCGATATATCTGACACATTCTGAATACAGAGAATCACCAAACAGGCACTGAAATGGGAAACAAGGATGTCCATGAGAAACTCCAAAGTGAACGCTGATGAGAGAAGCCAAAGGTGCTCGACTAGATTCCATCCATGATATCGAAGTGACTGCACAGGAAAGAACTAAATGGAGAACTGACTACAAGTCCAATGTGACACATAATGGCACAAAAGGAATAAACTTACTTATTTTACACATAAACATATTCCAACATCAACAAATGTTACAATTATCAACTTTTTCCTTCCTTCAACATCTAAAGGTAACAGTGGTGGTTATGTGTGTGCCTGACCAGGGTTGATGTGAGATTTGACCACTTGTATGTTACTCTGACTGACCACAGGATGACCACACTGGGGACAGGAGAAGTTCGGATCTGCTGATAAGTTTGCCTGGAAAAAAAAACATGTCATGATTTGATAAAATTCCAGAAGATAAAATAATAAAGCTATTGCTGTTCTTCCATGTTCTATGGAATCAAACAAATGGCTCTTCGGCTTCTTCTTCCCTTTTTCCTCTTCCTCCTTCTTCTACTTTTAGGTTTCTTCTTCTGGTTTGTTTTTCTTTCTCTTCCTTCTTCATTTTCTGGCCACTTCTATTTTTGGGCCACTTCTTGTTCTAGTTCCCCCCCCCCCCCCCCCCCCCCCCACATATTGCTGCTTTCCTCATCTTTCAGCTTCTTAAACTTCTTCTACTACTGCTACTCATTTTAGGCTTTTTTGTCTTTTTGTGTTCGCCCCCCTTTTTTCTCTTCTTTTCTTCCTGTTTCCTCTTACTTTTTCTAATTCTTATTTATTATTTTCCCTTAAAAGGGCAGCTGTCATACTGAGTTGTGGTTTACAGCCAGGCTGAAATATCTGTAACTTTCAGCCCAACATATCCAGTTTAAACAAATCCTTCATTTCTTCCCTTTTAGGATATGCTTGTTAATGAGCGGTGGCTCTATTTAACCACAAGGGCCCCTGGAACTCTTCATTGGAACTTCTTTCTGCACCCTCCTTGTTCTGCTTTCTCAATTTCATGAGATATATCACTGTCAGTGAGTAACAGATTTCGAAGAGTTACACAAAGACATCTTACCGAGATGCAGTAGTAACAGAAGACATGCCTACAGCCGATTTCTCGAGGCATCACTGGCCATTCCTCGCAAACTGCACAGGTCATGAGGTCAGCACGCGTCCTACTTTTCAGGTGACCTTGTGAGGTTAGCTTCTGACCTCCGAGCCAGCGTTTGAAGCTGTTCTTTATCCTTTGGAAATTGATGAGTGGCAGCAAAAAGAAGAGAAATTCCTGGAGTGAAGGGGAAAAAAGGATAAAATACTGTTAAACTGGTAGCATATGCAGTTGGGTGAATGGATGGATGGATGGATAGATAGGATGGATTGATGGATGGATGGAGTAGCATAAATGTAAGACAGGCAGACAAAGACAGGCAGACAGACAGATACAGACAGGCAGATACAGACGGATAGATTTAGACAAGCAGATATAAACAGATAGATATAGACAGGTAGATATATACAGATACAGACATGCAGATTATGGACAAATGGATAGATACAGAAAGGCAGAGGCAGACAGACAGATATAGACAGGCAGACAGACAGATATAGACAGGCAGACAGACAGATATATAGGCAGAAAGATATAGACAGGCTGATTCAACAAACACTTAAATACAGATAGGCAGCTAAACAGATAGATATAGACAGACAGATACGGACAAACACTTAGATATAGATAGGCAGATAGATAAAGACAGGCAGATAAATAGGAAACGAACAACTGTCAAAGAGACTTACAGCAAATCCATGCCACAACAACTCTCTGGTTAAAACTCGCCTTATATTTCCCTCGACACCCAAAGTGGCAAAAGAGGAAGTGAAAAAAAAAGTGTACAAGGCACACATACAAGACTCATAATTTGTTAAGAAATGAGCAATTAATGACAGTTGTACAAATCCTGCCAGTTGTTTTTTTTACTAAAAAGGATATTTGCTGGTACCTGCTGGGTAAGAGAGGGAGAGCTGAGACCAACTTAAAACAATATGCTTTGATGTGGATTTGAACCCAAGAACAGCATGTTGGCCAGCAAACTTGCAACCTTCCAGAGCTGTCTTCCTATCAGCATGAATTCGGCCAGTTTCAGGCCGCATTGTGGAGGAAAAAAGTATAGACCCACTGCACCTTAACAAGCATGTAGTGAGAGTCAACTAATTAGGGCCTTTCCTCCAAAGTCGAGTGTATCTGCCAAAGAGGTGAGGAACCAACAGTCTGCCTACAAATAAGCCAGATCAGTACAACAGATGTGCACTCAGGTTTTGGAACAAGACTAAAGTCCCTAAGTGGATGAGCAACTAACCAGAACTTTCCACCAGAGTTTACAGCCAATGAATGCAGATATAGAATGCAGTGAAGAAGATACTAGCATAAATTAGAATTAAGTGAATTACCAAAGAGAAGTAATTCCAGCATTCAAATTATTGGTGAGTTAATTAAATGCTTGACCAAATATAGCAGCCATTCTTTTCAGTGGATAATTATACAGAGCCAGCGGGATGCTGAGGTGGTAAACGACATGTGGTGGTGCAGTGGGAGGGCTCATGTTGGTTAAGACATTTCTAAACCTCTCTGTGGTTATCCTGGAAACAAGTTCTCCAGAAGAGGGTCTGGCCAGCGTAGACAGGATCCTAATTTCTTCAAAGTAGACATGCATCTGCCTGAGAAGCCAGGAACCAACAGTCTGTATACAGGTAAGCCAGATCTGTTAAATGCATATGCATGCAACACTCGAGTCCTGAAACAAGACCAAAGTCCAGAAGTAGATGGACAACTAAGGCCTTTCTGCCAGAGTTTACAACTAGGTGATGCAAAGGAGAGGAGTGGCTGGTCGCATGGTCAAAATGCTTGGCTTTCAAGTGGGAGGCCCAGGTTCGAATCCTCAGTAAAGTTAGGTTTTTTTTTTTTCTCTGTCAGAAGCAAAAACAATATCCTTACTATCCTAAGCTGCACAGTGCCTGGCGACAGCACTAACCATGTCATCCTTAACATCAGATTCAGTTAGCCCTCCCTCTGACCTCACAGCGAAAGGGGCGAATACAGGCAGTAATGACAGAGAATTAAAAAAAAAAGAAGTATGGCCAGCAAATTATGGTATAGGTATCCAAACTGTAGCGGCGTCCGTGGCTAAGGCGTTGCGAGTCCGACTCGTAAGCCAGCATACCGCGATCGAAACCCACTCAGGCTGCGTGGATTTTTGTCGTGGTATGGGACGTCGCAGGTCGACCCAGCCTAAAATGGGTACCAGGATGGGCTGTCCTGGGAAAGTAAAGACAGCCGGCGTAATGCTGACCACATTACCCACAGAGTGCTGATGGTCTGTAAAAATGTGGGACGCTCTGCCCATATGCCCCGAAAGGCGTGAAAAGGGAACTTTACTTTACTTACTATCCAAACTGTCCTTGGCAGAAAAAAGGTTTTACTTGTGCTAAACAATATTTATTTATTTTATAGCCTGTTTCTGGTATAATTTAAACTATGACAATGATGAAGACGAGCATCTAGAATTACTGGAACATTAACATTAACTTGCCTGTCTAAGGCCTTGACGTTGGGGGAATTGAGACCTAATGCCTAGGATGCGCTCCACAAGAGATAAGTAGACACCTTTTTTGAGGAACACAAGTAGGTTCACAAGTGCTGCTGCCTTCCAAACAGTTTCCACTTGCTGTAGCCAGAAATGCACCTATTTTGAGAAAACAACATTTCATGGAATAAACACAACAAATGCTTCCCAAAAGCTTTGTTTAATATCATGGGCCATACCAATAAGAACAGATTGTCGTGGTTCATGTTTCACAATCTCATACAATTACCAAAATCATTGATCAGGACAGTAATCTTATCCTTCCTCATCCATCTGGCCAAGCCATTGAGGTATTTATCTCTGTGTCTTCCCCTTGATTCTTTTTCCCCATAAAGTTTACCAGATGTCAATGAGTTTTCAAATTCATTTCTTCTCATAGCATGTCCTAAAACCTTGACTGTCTGTTTCTATTTCTCTGATCAGTTTATAGTTCTGATGTCTCTTAAAGGACTGCCTCATTGCTATTGTTTTTTCCCGTCAGCCCCAGATGCTGTTTAACCCTTTTACCCTGAAAAACTGAAAATCTTATACCTCCTGGGTCCAATTCTCTGTAAATGTCACTTTTCCTACTTTCCTATTGTGATCTGTTTATGAGATATATATTTAATCCAACAGGCTGAGTTCAAGACTGCGAAAACATTCAGGAGGTCAGGATATTAATAAATTTACTAACAATATCATTTAGCGGGGTTTTCCTTTGTGCTAAATTACTTTTTCTAAGCAAAAATGATGTCAGATTTTCTCATGAGTCTCAGTAGTAAAGGTCATGGGGTCATGACAGGAGTCACTAGATACATGTTTGCTTTTAGGCCCCATGAGATGTATTCAATTTGATGATTTGCCCCATACATGTTTATTGATTACTTCTTTCATATATCTTTAGATATATAACAAAATAATCTTAAAGTGTTACATAAATAAATTTCTACCGAATTTATTAGTGACCTGTGTAAATCAGTTAGGTACCATCTCAACAATAAAGTTGTTGTTATAGATTTCCAGCATTCTGTTTCTCACCATGTTTGTACATACTTTAAGACTGCTATTTGCCTATATATTGATATTATCCTTCTACTGTATCAATGTCTTCCTCTTGCTCGCCTGCCTACAAATTTTCCCTCCAGTATGGTTTTTCCCCCTTGATTTAACCTGAATGACACTATAAAGGGAAATGAAAAGGTAAAAATTCCCTGGGATACCACAGGCAGAAATTCAGCAGACTGGCAACAGATCACTTGTGAATGCTTTGTGTGTCAATGATGAAATGAAGATGACATAGACAAATGGTTTTTATAACAGCATTATGTCTTTCAATATGGCCAAAATATTTCATCTGTCCCTTTCTCTATTTTGCTTTGTTTTGTTTAGCTTGTATATTACAGCACAACTGAAAACTAAACAGAAAAAAAAAGTATAGATTTTACCTGAGTATCCCACTGTGACAACCCAATATAGGTCAACAGGGTGGAGATTCTTTCCTTCAACCAAGGAAACAACACAACAAGCAACCCGTAGAGAACTTTCTCCCTGCCAGTGATTGGAGCCCCTAGGTTGGTACCCTTGCCCTTTCCATAGTGAATGCCTAGGATCTGCTGGCCAACCGTGGCATCTCTGTCAAATAAGGCAAACTGTAAGAGAAGAAAACAGAAATCAATCAAGGAAATATAGTGGCGAACAACACAGATTTTTGGAGGCAAAAATATAATTCTAGCAGTGAAATTAGTTCTTTTTGCTCTTCTTCTCTATTCCTGTGTTGCCTTTCAGCCTCAGGTTTTGAAGAGACATCGGGTGAGAGCCTTAGTATGTGCTTCATAGATGCTGATATTTACAGCCTGGGATATCTATCCATCGCATGCTTGGTCGACCTGTGGTTGAGCTCCCATCATGTCTAAGTGACAGCGCTCTCTGGGGTGTGATGTCTGGTGGTAGTCTTGACACATGTCCAAACCATTTGATCTGTTGTCTCTTGATGTAGTTTAGTGCTGGTTCCATCCCAACCTCTTTCCTGATTTTGTCATTTTTGATCCTCTCTCTTCTAGTTATATTTAGGATTCACTGTAAATATTTCATTTCTGTTGTTTTTGTTTTCCTTCTGTACTTTTAAAATGAGTTAACTGCAATTTAGTTTCATGCTTCAAGACTTCAACTCCTAGACCCACGGTCCAGCTAAGTGACTTTTGTTTGACATATTTTGTATTAAAGAGTTTAGTGAACTGGTTTCACAGTCCTTATGATGTAACAGTGTTTCAACTTCTATGGCTCTGGCTGAAGAACAGTCGAGAGGGCACAAGCATATTCTAGAAAAATGAAATGCAGCATGAAAACTTAAGTTAAAATAGGGTAGACAAGGCTTTTAGCACTGCTTTTCTTATCTGGTAGCTCCGGTAGCATGATTTTTCCCAAACATACTGGTGTTACCTTTCCTTTAGAGTTAACAAAGCAGGCCAAAGGAGGGATCATGCTGCTTGAACAACATAGGGTCTTTGAGTCCCAAGAAACGCGCCATACGTTCATAGGTTCCTACCTAGAAGCCCAATGAACGCAAGATGCGCTGATTTTACGTCTTTCTTGACTACCCCTTGGGCCTGTGATGCTATACTGGCTGCGTCCATATACATACTCTCAGCAGCGAAGCGACAAGAAAGAAAATATCTTAGTGTAATCGTTACCTACTAATGCTTAATTTTGTTGAAACCACTTACATTTGTGAATTGACGTGCCTAGCCACTTCAATACAGGGATTCAAATCTATAACCATCAAGTCAACAGGCGAGACAACTGACCCTTGCACCTCATTCAATAATCAATAAAATAATATTTTTTGTTTTTAACTAATCAATAAGGTTCTTAACGACAGTATCAATGAGAAGTAAAATCAACAAAGTACTCAGTGATAGTAACTAGGGGAGATAAATCAATAAAATTAATAACGATAAGTAGGTATTTTAATCAAACACAGATCTAGAGAGATTTAGATCTTATCTTAGTTTCTGTAATTGCAAAATGGGTGTCTTAATTCTGCACCTAGTTACTTTTTTTCTTTTTAGCGTTCACTGACTGTAAACAATAGTTGACTAAAGTTTTACCCAACCAGGATATCACACCTAGCGATTAAAGTGCCACCATTCAGATGTGGATCACCCGTAGGGTTATAATTAGGGCCCCCTGATCATAACTGGGGTGCGGCTTCACAAAAAACCTGAAAAACTGCATCCCACATGAGCACGGACTGTGTAAACAACAGCGGAAAATTCTGGCGTTCAGCCAATTTTGGGCTTTCGCCTTACTCCAGAACTTGAGTTTTGCATACACATCCGTTTGACGTATCTGGCTTATGTGTATGCAGAATGTTGGTTCCTTGACTCTCAGATGTGCTCAGACTTTGAAAAATCAGTTCTAATCAGCTGCCATTTATGAGACGCATGAAATGGAGTCTGTGGGTCTATTCTTTTATATCCCACAGAGCCTCGGAATCCACACTGGGATCTGTATTTTTTAATATCCGTTAATGAATGAAATGGACAAATGGATTTGAATAAGAAGCCCTTCAGATCATGGCAAAGCAGCCTCAGCATTAGCTCAATGCTCTGTGGGTTTACTAGACAACATTATGTTCAGTAGTTTTCATGCTTTTTTTTAAACCTGTCACCTTGAGAAAACCATTTTTCTGGCTTGTAGGGGTTCTGTTTAACATGTCTTCGCTGGCAGTGCCTTTTAGGCAGAAATAAATATATTCCTGAAATATATAGATAAATGTTGGGACTAGAAATAAGTAATTTTTTTTTCTAAATATTGATGTGACGTCTTCAAAGAAGTAAAGAACTTTACACACGCCTGACTGCTCAGTGGTCTAGGGGTTCGACACTTTGAATATTTAAAAAAATTGATCAAACCTCAAAATTTCTTTTTCTCTTCTTTTAGTTTCTTAAGCAGATTTTAAAAAATTAAAATGGTGCATTGTGTGCTTTTAATTTGCAAAAAATTTAAATAAATATGAAAAGAGGACTTTGTAAACTATTTTTACATGGTGAATGGTTATCAGTGTTACATAGAAGTATCTTCCTTCCTTCAGTTGTCTCAGCTCCTGGTCGCTACATGAAGGTCTGATCACCATGAGATCACAAAATCTTAATCTGGCCGGCAAGATATCCTGTTCAACTTCCAAAGAAGTTATAATTAGGGCACCAGTAATGGTTACACCAGCCAAATGTAACTGCATTCCTGTGCGGGCAAGACTATTATTCTCAGAAGATTGTGGGAGCCAGTGAACACAACACCATCTTGGAGCATAAAGTGTTTAAGAGACTCCATTTCTACAGACATAACAGAGCGTTTGTAAATCGAAACATAAATGAAATAACTACGAAGATCCTTAATGTAACAAGAAAAGACAGGAGCAGAAACTATCAGGAAACAAACTGGGACAGAACCAGTGCTAAACTACACCAAGAGACAAGAGATCAAATGGTTTGGACATGTATCTCACAGACAACATTCTTTACCTTGTACTGTCAATCATTTCTGATAAAGATGTTTATCTACACCACCCATGGTGACATGCTATCCATTACCCCCCCCCCCCCCCTCTCTCCCCATTATCATGACAGATGCGGACTGGGAAATGGTCACACATTTCTACGGAAGTATCAACTTCGGCAGCCCTGGTCCGGTTTTAAACAGAGAGACAAACTGGCAGGAAGGCAAACATCCACTCATTTGGCTACCACATCCAACAATTACCAATCCATTAAAGGGCAGAAAGACTTATCTCACGCCTTTCATGCAATGATAACGATAGTCACACCGTGTAAGAGAATCGGGCACTCTGCGTAATATTCCCATAATTAGCGGTAGCGGGGAGTCGGCGTAGCGGCTTGATGCTAGAGTGCGGATTGGAAGGTCGTGGGTTCGCTTCTTGGCGGAGCCAGACTTTTTCCAAAATGACCTTGACTCCCAGGGTCCATGCAGCCTTGGGTGGGTACAGGGTGCAGTCCCGGGAAGTAAAGGCGGCCGGCGTAATGCTGACCATATAACCCATCTTGTACCGATTGATCTATAAAAATATAGGTCTAACCCTATATGCCCTATACGCCTAAAGGCGTGAAAAAAGTACCTTTTCTTTATTTTTACATTGAAGCCGACCTCTATCGTAAAGACGGCATGTTCTTTTTTTTTTAAACTGGAAAGGGGCAGAGAATAATGGTAAGAAACCATCGCAAATTATGGTTCCTGATTAAGCAAGGCGATAGAATCAATAAGCATTTCTACGCGACAACAGAAAGCAGCTGCAAAACTACAACTCTAGGCGAACTTACAGTACAATTACTTCGACCGGCAAAAGGGCATACTTAAAATCTTTCGTCTTAACATTTTTTTTCCCAAGTTAAAAGTAAAGTCTGTGTTTTGTTTTCGCGGACGGAATTGTTTCAGGCATTGTAGGTTAGTGTTTCGTGTGCAGACGACTGGGAACGGCGGAATAAGGTAAGGGCGGGTAAAACATTACTGGTGTCTTTTGTATCTTTACTAATGAAAAAGAAGTTTTATGAAACTATAAAGAAAAAGACTCCCCGTGTGGGTTGTGAGGTCACCTTTTAGGTTAGGGGTGCGGACAGACTCAACAATGCCGGCAGCAAGAGCATACAAAATGAAACCGGAAACACCTATGTGCAGATGGAGACCAAGAAGAACATGGATTGAGGTAATCACTGACAGATTATGTGTGACTTTATAACATTTATAACATCGTGGAAGCACCGTGGTGTAGCGTCTCGACGCTTGCCTGAGGATCCGAAGGACGTGGGTTCGCGTTCTGACTTTTAAAAAATGACCTTGTATCCCAGGTCGACCCAGCCCTATATGTCCAATACGCCTGCCTTTTTGTTTACACAAGATCACAGCAACCGAGCGCGGATTGGCTCGGCTACCTAACATCCATTAAACTGCAAAGCCTGAAGGAACAAAAGAGGTACTGGCAACAGAAGAAACCCACTGCCATTTCATAAGTATGTCCTTAAAGAAGGTTAATTAGAAATTCTCTGACACTAGATGCGTTGGACAGAAAGGCGTAGATTTCGCAGCCTACCTGTAAACCACACGCATCGTGTAACTGCCCTTTTAAAGACAAATACAGAAGCAGAAGAAGAAGAAGAAAGAGGAGGAGGTTAAGGCATGTTACACGAGAGGATCGTCTTAATTACACCGAGTCTTATTCCATATGGCTCGGTCTCTCTCTGCAAAGCGGCTAGCCGCCTGCCGAGATCGCCGCATAGATCATGAACTCTGTAGCTCCGTTGACGATCTCCGTAAAAACTCCACTCGTAAACTGAACTGCGCCGCTGTGAAACGAAACCACGACCTTCAGAGCGCGAGGCAAATGGCTTAACCACTTCGCCACGGAGGAGGAGGAGTCGAGTTTAGTTTACTGTGGGGTGTTGAAAATAGCAACTGGAGAACCTCTTGACCACTGGGGACGGAAGAGACAGAATAGGCAGCGACAAGTGAGAGAAATTACGCTGGAGGTCCAATACAGAGGCATAGAGGAATACCCTAAATAGAGAACTCCAATAGAACAAGGACAGACAACTGCGGAGAGACGTAAACGTCAACGTCATCAGGTAATGCTCGCGAT